TTTGGTACGGATTCTTTCCTCCTTGCTTGCTGCTGTGGAATCATCTGCGAACCACGCTTGTACGGCTTTGCTAGAGGCAGCACGACGGATGAGAGGCACGGTGCCCAACGCATACATTGCCATTGCGAGCGGATCGCCTTGTGTAGTTCCTTCACAGGAGAGAATGGTCTCGCCACCGACGAACAGCCGGGATGGGGACCGGTACGTATTGACGATGGTGGTGGAGAATTCTGGGCACAGATGCTGGATGTTGCGAATGCATACGTTGCGGTTGATACGATTGAACGCATTTGATGCATCGGCTAGGAGCACGGCCTCAGTGTCGTCTTGCGCGAATGCGGATCGCATAGCGTGGATGGCTGCTTCGATGCCGCTCTGTTGACCTGCACACAGTTGGAGGCACTCTGTGGCTTGCTGAATTTCTGGGCCTATTACCATCAATATGGCCTTGCCGATAACACGTCGGACGACCTCACCAATTCCGATGGGCCGAACTCCGGGTTGCTTGTCTAATGGGATCAGCCTGCAGGCGGTATAAGCCTCAAGGGAGGAAGGGTCGATGGCAGTGGTCGCTATGCGACGGGCACACAGGGCGAGCGCATCGCAGAGAGCATCAGAGGCACTATGGAAGGACGAACAGATTCTTCGCCAGCCATTGGCGTCCATGCCTGAGGGTCCGGCCGCACCGTTGGTATTGAGGACTGATTTCATGATGGCCTCTCTCGTGATGGCTGAGAACATGATGGCATGTGGTTGTTCGGGAGGTATTCCCGGTATAAGCACTGCCTCATGGAGTGGCTCACCCGGAGGGTGCTTGGAGATGAGGACCTCTCGGACTGATTGACCGTCAATGATGTCGTTCAGGGAGTGCGAGCCCGTGGATGATTCTTGGGAGAGCATTCGAACCGCTGCTCCGGTCTTCCCTGCAGTGATCAGTGATGCGAAGTTGCGTGCGTCATTTCCCTGACTAGCTGGGGTGGGACGGGTGGAGGATTTACCGGCGTCGAGTTGCTCCTGAATTGTTCGGGCTTCCCGTATTAGCTCGTCCACGTTTCCGGCATTCCACAGTGGCAATCGGCGGTTGAGACAGTCCAGGTGTTCTTGCCGGCTGTTGGCTCCGTATGGCTTCTGCAAGATTAGTTGTGTGGCTGTCATGGCTCCCTTGATGGCATAGCCTTCACCTGCACCCTCTTGCCCGAAGCGCCTGAAAAGTTGGGCTAACAGTAACACAAACTGCGCCCCGACGGCTCCGGAGGGCACGAGAAACAGGTTTGGGCGGAAATGCACTACCTCTTCATATGCGGCGGAGAGTACTTGCTGGGTGTCCGCTACGGAAAGGTTCCCCAATTTCAGGTCACAGTTTGCAGGTGTGTACTGTGGGAGTTCATGGGCCCTAGTGTTAGTGTCTGGAGTGGCTCCACTGGTGTTGTTTGAGTGCCCTACATCGCTCTCATCCAGGGTGGCTGGCAACTCGGCATCCAGGGTTTGACTGGACATTACAGTGGGGTGAGCAGCCTGTGTGCTGTGTGTGGCCTCAGTCACCTCAGTGAGTAAGCGTTGGGCACGAGCTGCATTGCTCAGGAGACATGTAGGCTGCGCAGCTGCTGGGGAACACTGGGTGTGTTGTGTGTTGCATGATTGGATCTCTGTGCTCTGGGGCGTTGGTGATGGACGCTCGGGGATTGAATCGGTCTGGCTGTCCTCATTTGCTGACCCGTGCAGATGACGATCGAGCAGGTCCCATGCATGTTGTTGGGTGTTCGAAACTACGGTAGATGTACGGCTCGTAGCTTGGTCTTCCGAACGATCAAGCAGGTCCCATGCATGTTGCTGGGAGTTCGAAACTACGGTACTCGTACTACGACTCGTTCCTGCATCTGCTGTCTGGTGGGCAGTCGCGGGGACAGGCCCAGGTGATCTGGGAACGTGACGTGCCGTTTGAACTCCTACGAGTACGGGGCTGCGAAAGGCGGGCGGTGGCGACGCCGGAGACGCGGCTGGAGAAGGATTGTTTCGGCAGCGGTTTTTCTGAGCAGGGCAGCAATTCCGGCATTTACGTCCACTCTTCACACAGACACAGCCAACACAGGAGCCATTGCCATTGCACCGGCAACACTGAGGGCCTCCCTGCATGGCGTGTGCTGTCCAAGCTGATGCTTGAGGTGCGCAGCACGAGAATCTGGCCCAGAACTCAGTACAAATCCGACAGCTCCACAATCCGAGACCGTCTTTGTGGTCCACTTCACAACAATAACACACACAGAAGTCTCTGCTGTGAGCACGGTGGCTCGGCAATGGCAATACACCACAAACTGCACCAACGAAAAGCCACTGCGAAGGACAGTCGACTCTATGTGGCCCAGATGCAATGCGGGTTCGCAACCATAAATGTAAACACGGGTAGCGGATACTGTGCCATCTCCCGGTAGCACGTCAATGCTCTTACCCTCCAACTGCAGATTTGCTGCGACGAGCTTGTCCCTGGTGGCGAAATCACGCAGGGTCAGAACACAAGACCCGGGCCGGCCGTGCAGGTCGATCTGGAGGACATCTCCAAGCGAGAGACTGCAGGCTTGAATTGCCTTTGCTACGTCCAGATGCTTCACAGTCTTTGGACACTGGAAATGGACAGCTGGCCTGTCCATGTCAGAGCGCTCAATTTGCCTACCACTCGGTATTTAGAAAAAAAGGTGGCCGGTAAAAGCACCCAACTAGTTGTCGCCTTCGTCGCCCTTTGACTTCGATCCAGGACGATTCAATGTTAGCGTCAGAAAGCTCTGGGCGCGGTTTTACCTGGAGTCCGGAACGGAAATAAAAGCATACACCGCCACCTCTGCGCACTGGACGATCGTGCCGTATCACACAGTAACCTGGTATATCAATATCACTGTCTGACGTTGTGCTGTCAAGCCAGGTTTCTGCGACGCCAAATATGTCGAAGTTGTATTGCTGTAGGATATCGGCGACCTCAGCTACTTTGTTTCGAAGACTACAAACATTCAAAAAGCCCAGTCTTATGAAGGACTGTGTCAGTGGGGTACTGCGGTGAGCAGGGGCAGCAAGGTTATTCTGGGTACAAGAGCCATGAGCACTGGGACCTGGGATGCCAGCGCCAGCCCCAGGGGAGAGATGTTGACTGTGTACACTACTAGTAGCTAACTTGGAGGGGGAAAAGCTGGGTGCTAAGGGACTTCATTCTGTTCCTCAAATAATCCATCCTGCTTTAACCACAATTGCATGTAGCAAAAAAAACTTGCAAGGGAAATTCATCACATTCAATAATTAAATGGACAGTCACGTGCTTGGTGGCCAGATACACCACAGCGAAAGCACGTCTGTATCTGGTCGCGGTGATGTGTACGGTACGACCTTTTCTGAATGCTTAGCGTGCAGGGTACACCTTTCTTCAGGATCATTAGCACCCGTCGTACCCCCGTGAGAATTTTGAATTTCTCAACGGTGACAAATTCGCAATCAATATTGCCGACAATTTCGCCAAATTCCCCCAAAGCCGACTCTATGTGGCCCAGATGCAATGCGGGTTCGCAACCATAAATGTAAACACGGGTAGCGGATACTGTGCCATCTCCCGGTAGCACGTCAATGCTCTTACCCTCCAACTGCAGATTTGCTGCGACGAGCTTGTCCCTGGTGGCGAAATCACGCAGGGTCAGAACACAAGACCCGGGCCGGCCGTGCAGGTCGATCTGGAGGACATCTCCAAGCCAGAGACTGCAGGCTTGAATTGCCTTTGCTACGTCCAGATGCTTCACAGTCTTTGGACACTGGAAATGGACAGCTGGCCTGTCCATGTCAGAGCGCTCAATTTGCCTACCACTCGGTATTTAGAAAAAAAGGTGGCCGGTAAAAGCACCCAACTAGTTGTCGCCTTCGTCGCCCTTTGACTTCGATCCAGGACGATTCAATGTTAGCGTCAGAAAGCTCTGGGCGCGGTTTTACCTGGAGTCCGGAACGGAAATAAAAGCATACACCGCCACCTCTGCGCACTGGACGATCGTGCCGTATCACACAGTAACCTGGTATATCAATATCACTGTCTGACGTTGTGCTGTCAAGCCAGGTTTCTGCGACGCCAAATATGTCGAAGTTGTATTGCTGTAGGATATCGGCGACCTCAGCTACTTTGTTTCGAAGACTACAAACATTCAAAAAGCCCAGTCTTATGAAGGACTGTGTCAGTGGGGTACTGCGGTGAGCAGGGGCAGCAAGGTTATTCTGGGTACAAGAGCCATGAGCACTGGGACCTGGGATGCCAGCGCCAGCCCCAGGGGAGAGATGTTGACTGTGTACACTACTAGTAGCTAACTTGGAGGGGGAAAAGCTGGGTGCTAAGGGACTTCATTCTGTTCCTCAAATAATCCATCCTGCTTTAACCACAATTGCATGTAGCAAAAAAAACTTGCAAGGGAAATTCATCACATTCAATAATTAAATGCCATTGTCCATTTTTTCGTAGTAAGATCATGGAACACTAGCAGCTGCCTCTTCCTCCCAAGTACGTAAACACGTCGTGTGTAAAAAAATAAGGGGCGCAATACACCAATTAGATCAGCCCAACGTTCACAATATAGCACACAACGTATAGGGGGGTCGGAGATAATCCACCATACATAAGTGACCCTGATTACTTTTTTATTGCGTGCTACATTATGCTACATCTTGCAGTATGCATGTAGAGTATGCATGTACTTGAAATATGAATATTCAACTTCAGGTTTAGTTGGCAGACTCTAACGCATAACTTGCGCTCTATTATTTTCCTAAAACAACGCTGCGTAACTTTCCAAGTACACAGTTTTGGAGGTGGAACTAATCCCACATTTAACATGAATACACAGGTGAACCTTTCGGATACTGTTGCATAAAACCGGATATTTTTACCGCCGTTTTTCTGTGGGTACTAGCCAAAATCGGCTTGGGATATCATTATAAAACCTGAAAGTCGTGTTAAACCCCAGTAAGTGCAAATGTCGTGGTACTGAAGTTTCCCAGTTTGGAAACTGGCGATTTTTGTGTGTATCAGCAGAACAGAGAATCACAAACATGGTAAAGACATAATTCGTTTTTTTTTACAGATAACCAATGAGCACTCTGGTGATATGTATGCACCACTATTGGCAGTTAGACACACAAAACAGGCATGTTTGTCCTACTATGAACAATAAAGCAAGTAAAACACCCGCAGTGGGTTCCATACGCATTGAAGCAATGACTACACCCTCTTTGAAGTGGTACATTGTACTATTGAACTACAATAATTCAAACACAAAACAAAACAAAACACAAAAAAACCGAACTCGGATGGTGAGCCAATTAAATTATGGTGAAAAAGGAGGAGGACTAAAAGTTACGAGTTATGACTAACTGTCCACCAACTCGCACTCACTGACTGTATACGATCTGGTTACGTTGGTGGACAGTTAGTCATAACTCGTAACGTTTTGTTCTCCTTTTTCACAACAAACCGAATTGGTTCTGGGGGCATTCTCATACTTATACCGTGCAAACCGTCCCCATGTACATCTCAAGTACTAGCATGGAGATTGAGAAGAAAAAATGACTAAGTAAGAGTGTAAAGGATGACGAACAGAGTATGTAAGCTAAAGAATGTGCTTTGCAGTGGTATCATGAAGGGTAATGCAGGTCAATTTGGACGGCATACCTCTTGCACTTCCATGATAGAAGTCGATCGGTAGCCTGAGTGTGATGAGCCCCGACCATCGGAGATGTGCACAGATATCGTGTGATTCCCAGCTGACAAGGCTGCACCATTAGACTCAACGGACTCACAAACACCAGTCAGAACGGATGGGATGTGATTGTCAGCTTGTGAGGCTTGGTACATCACGATATCTATGTGCGTAGGCCGTGTGCACTGTTTATTGTCGATTTTGAATAACCAATAAACCGACCTGCCACCGTGATAACTACGTATAGTCCCGGAGTAGGATAGCCTCAAAACTGTATCCGTGTGTTTCTTCCTGAAACTCATTGAGGCGATTTGGCCGTTCTGTTTACCGCTTGCACCAGAACGACGACTCTGATACTTGTACCCCAGTGTTGGCCTCGTGCAAGTCAAATTCTAACATAAAGGAGCAGAGAACAGAGTAGATACGGAGAACGTACCAAGGAGATTACAATCATGGTGGAAGATAAACAGCATGTTCATGTAGTAAGGCTGTCATCACACCATGGTACAAAGCGCTGCGTCTACGTCCACGTAAGGAGTTTTTGCGCAGTACGTGATGAGTCTAGAGACTAATGACAGACATATACATGTGTAATGTACCTAATTATAAGTGTGAATAAAGACTTTTTATTACCTTACTTTTAAAAGTACTCCTTACCGTTTCGTTCCTTGTTTCGACGTGTTCCAGTCGAGAATTCATGGACAGCATCGCACGATCCACGGAGTCATGATGTTCTCGGAATATCTCCGTGATCTTTTCTATTTGTTTACGGAAAGTGTTGATCTGGCCATCGCGCAGCTTTAGTTTCTGCTCCAAACGCTTGTTATGTTTCTCTGCTTGTAGTACTCGCCGACAGAGACCGGAATTACTCTCGCCTGAACACGGGTCAGCTGTAGATAATGAAAGGACAATACCATAATATGCTTTTTACGTACAACAAATCAACGAATTAGGATTGTGTTAAAGTTATTGTGGATTATATACATGTACAGGTCATACTTCCTTGGTAACAATTAGAGCATTTGGAAAAATGAGGATTCCCGCTGCCCCGTGATGTAGAAATTGGTTAGGAGCAGAGCTGAGCATTTCCTATCACTTTCCAATTATCATTACAAGATGGCCTGAAACTACACTGTACATTGTAGTTGACAGTGGATTGTTGCGAAATTCATTTTGCACGCACCTTCACATGACCTTCCGTTTCCAAGGTAACCATGGCTGCACTTGCAGGTGTACTGTCCCAACGTGTTATTACAGTGTGCGTGCTGATGGCAACGGTGCACTCCGGCTTGGCACTCGTCTACATCTGAGGCAGAAAATACCAAAAACGGAACACTTGCACTGTAAAGAGACAAATCTTGCGTTCGCTCTTTGTAAACATTGAGCACTTTTCAAGTGTTGCATGCATTTAGTTGCATGTACATGTACATATAAATATAGTTTCTAGAACCAGAGAGAACCTTGACTACAGTGTATGGGTCTAAGTGGTCAATGCATGGTGTGCAAAGCTTCAACGCAAACGAAATTTTAATTTCAATTTCACTCACTGCTCTATCTTCTGTGTGTTCACTACTCTGGTACTCATTACCTTCGCAACGCCGCCCATCTCCATAGTAACCATGAAGACACTCGCATACATACGATCCATGGGTATCGTGGCATCTTGCGCGCTCAGCATCATCACACTCGTTTAGCTGTGGTACTGCGCACTCGTCAATATCTGCGTGGAGACAACACACAGAACAACAAGGGAAATCCTCATGTTTGGAATTTAATTAAGTGGTCTTTGTAAAAATAATAAAAAAACAAAAAAAATCAAGGCTAGTTAGTCGCTATTTTTGTGAAAATGCGAATTGTTTTCTTTCCCTTCTCCACAGAGGAACACCGGGAAAGATCCAATATTGTAATTATTTCGTTACAAATTTCAAACCAGCTCATGTGAATGGACATACATGTACCCACATACATGTACAGCCGGGGACCCACTATTGCATTGGCCCTATCATCAAATTTGCAATGAACCAACTACTCACCTTGCTGTACAAATATCGAGCATGAAGGTCACCGCCAATAAGCTGTATAAGTTGGCATCGTTGTGTTTTCTCACATTACCACCATGTACTGATTTGAGAAGTAATGGTACGAATGATCTCATCAGGTTTTACAACTGGCTTCGTCTGTTCGTGTCACAGAATCGTGTGACGATATGTTTCCCTCCGGCTGCACTGAGTCCTAATCGCGCCTGGACCAGTGGTTGTGATGAAGCCGAGACCCAAGGTCGGCAGAGCATCCCAGACCACGCCACCACTCCCCATATTCATGGCTCACACATGACGGGTTTACGTGGCTCGAGTAGTAAAAAAATCGACGCACAGAATATATCGCTCAATAGCCACGTGCGCAGATTTGAATGAGGGGTGTCTCTACCTTCCTGGGCAGGGAGTGACGTGGAAACTCCTTGAAAATGGCAGACTGCATCGCGGCAGCTTTAAAAAATTGAATTCGGTCTGAAGACCAAAATGGCTGAGATCAGACGCCTTTTGTTGGTTCGCTGGCATTTCAGGTAAGACACTGGGTTGTGGCGCTGGCGTTTTGACCCTGGTAGTAGCAAATGTTGGTCCACTGTGTTACTCCTGCGACGAGGTTTACAGGAAGCCCACGTTTGTAAAATTGTTCAAAGATTTTTTCGTTTAGCGATTGGTGTAGCCCAGAGACCGTTTGGAGAGTGTCGTGAAGACAAAATACGATATATGGGGACATAACGCTGAAACACACCGTCACGCCATCACCAAACGCAGTCCAGGAGCCAAAATCAGATTGAGTACATCAAGTCGTTATCACGGTTGGGAACCAATTTCACTGTTTGTGTTACCTGAACATCAGCTTTTTTACACTTACCAGTCTCACATCGCTCTCCAACAAGTCCCAGAGGACATTGACACCGAGGTGTTTCGCTGGTGGCGTTGTGAAGGCATACGCCACGGGCGGAGCAGGGAAGCACGGACGGGGTAGAGGACGCTGGACATGTCGCGTTTCGGTCTGCGGAAACAACACAAACATTGACAGCAAACATTGGCATTTAGAAAGGAGAATGTCGCCACATTTTTCCCGTTGGATGCACTCTGAAATCTAGTGTTGAGCCAATAATGAAAGGTACAAAGGACGTCAACACACG